CAAAGTTGACACCACCTATATGCCACATAGTGATGAGTCTCCCCCTTGTTGTCTTGTTGAATATTGAAGATGAATTGCTACCTTATACCTAGGGCTATAAATGAATCGAGCCGTCTAATGAACAGTTCGAGCTCGGCTCGTTAAAAGCTCGGTTCGGACTCGTTCGTTTAGTAAACGAGTCGAGCTCGAGCTCAATTTTTAAGCTCGTTTAGTAAACAAGCCGAGTTTGAATAATGTTAAGTTCGGCTCGTGAGCTCGTAAGTAGGCTCGTTTACATAAATTTATATTTATAATATAAATTATTTTATTTTAAAACTAGCCTATATATTTAATTCTAGGCCCAAATTCATAAAAGTATATTTTCATTAGCCCATTTAGTATTTGGGCATTTAGAAGCCCATCTAATTAAGTAGCACACTAACTAATCATAGATTCATCTAAGCCATTTGAGTGTAACTTGTCATTCTTTAAGGGTTAAGAAACCCTAAAAGTAGTCGCAAGATGTTGTAACGGCTTCTCCAATCCAATTGGGGGCAACAAAAATCCAGTTAGTGCAACATGCTTCTACTCCTCATGCGGTTGTCTTCTACTCCTAAGGCGACATCATGTTAGGTCTATCCCATCCCCCATTCTCTCTCGTTTAATATTATTCATAAATTTGATAAATTAGACATTGATTAACTTGAAGCTAGTGAAGGAGAATTTGAAGGGTGGAGAAGATGAGTGTTTAACATTTGAATTGATAGTGACATTTTCCTGTATCAAAATAGTTCTCCTCGATCCATTTGATAGGTAAGGGTGTATATATATATATATATATATATATACACAAACACACATCTTAACATACGAGCTGAGCTTTGCTTGGGCTCGTCAAAAATTTACTGAGCCGAGCTCGAGTCTAGCTAGGCTAAGCTCGGCCGAGGCAAGCTGAGCCCGAGCAACACTCTGATTTAGACGAGCTGAGCCTGAGAAGCTTAAAGTTCAGCTCGACTCATTTGCAGTCCTACTTATACCATATTAAGGTCACTGATGCCAAACTTTAGACATTCAATGTGGCAAATAAAGAGCGGTCTCTATCCATTTTGAATATTTAACAATGATGAGGGACCTCTCAGTAGACTTTGTTGCACAGGTGGAAGGCACAAAATAATGATAACGAGTCATACAAAAAATAAAATAAAGACTTAATGCGGTGTGAGAAAAGTACGATCTTCTATAATATTTTTATAAATATAAAAAAATACAGATATTCTCAAACATCTTGAAACCAAATTCTTGTAACAGGTTCATTAATATTCAAGTCATTGATTAAAAATAAATAAAAAAATTTACGACCTCTTCTCATTGTAGGTATAGCAACTCAAAAGTCATAGGATTTAGTATCTCAAGAAATATCAAATCTTAAGTTTCAATCCTCTTGAGTGCGATTAATTCTTTAGAAACCATGACTGTAGAAATAGTCTGAATTTTATCTCCCAAATCCGGGGTTTGTGACTAAGGAATCTAGGCCGTGTAAGACATGATTCATGTGAGTAGATCCCTGGTTATCTAAAAAAATAAAATAAATAAGCATAGCAACTCAAGTGTTACAATTCTATATATGCTTGTTATGAGCGTTCTTCCTACTCCTTAATCATCTCAATGCGACTAACACACGCTCATTTTTGTGAGTATCAAGTTATCAACCCATATAGGCTTTTATAGAGTATAACTACTAATTTCAATAAATATTAAAATTCATTATTTCCCAATAGTTTATAAGAAAAAATTCCTACCAATTCTTACTTTTCTCATTGAAATACAAATAAGGTCCAATTTTTTTCATTAAGACTAATACGTCTTACTTTTGAGATTTTTTTTCTTTCTTTTAAGCCATAAATTACTAAACCTTCCATTTATATTATAGGGTAAAGTACAGTCACTCCCCTGATGTTTGGTAAAGGATATTCAGAAAAAACTTACATTTTTTTTGAACAATAACACCACTTGAAGGTTCAAAAATGGACAAAGACACTCCCTTATATGAGAAATTGACCAAATTACCTTTTCACCGTTTATGAGACTTTTTAAACTTTACAATTTAATAAATTGAATCAATTTACCCTGAACAATTTATTCATAAAAAAAAGTAAAAAAAAGAAAAACCCTTCTCTCAATATCTAATACCTCTCTCTCTCTCTCTCAATAGACCAGACCGCGGCGATGGTCTGGACAACCGCCACGGCCACGGCCACGGCCACCACCCTCTTCCTCATTCGTATACCCTGCATTATAGCTCCTTGGATTGGTCTGACATATTTTTTTTCATGTGGTGTTCTATCAAAGGGGGAGGATGGGGGGAAGAAAGGATGAGGAAAACAAAAAAGAAAGTAGACGTTTTTTTTCATCTCTGTCTCTCCAAGTTAAAATTTAGCTTTCATGATATGGTGCTTAGTTTTTATATGTTATGGTGATGTGGAAGTTAACTTGGCATTTATAATTTTGCGAGAGTTCAATATGGAACTAATTCTGTATGCTTGCTGAAACAATTGTAGAATAAGGATGCATCAAGTAGTGGGTCTTCAACCACATCAGCTGCACCTTCAGCTCCGGTCTCTGCTGCTGCTCCTCCTGATTCGTGAGTATATATATTCTGCCAATTTCTGCTATAATTTTTACCTTGTTTTATGTGTTTAAGACCATCTGTTGTATCCTAGATATATATAAATCTCTCGTACGTGTCTCACCCATTTTGCTTGGAGAATTTGAAGTGTTCTATATTTTATTTACTTTTTTTGGTTGTTTGTTCAAGCAGTTCAGAATCAGATGTCTATGGCCAAGCAGCATCAAATCTTGTTGCTGGAAATAACTTAAGAGTATAACATTCAACAAATTCTTGATATGGGTGGAGGGAGTTGGGATAGGGAAACGGTTGTTGGTGCTCTGCGTGCTGCGGATAACAACCCTGAGAGATTGGTCTGACATAAGGATTGGAAGTCTTGAAGAGCAGTCCCTCGCTTCCAAGATATAGAAATCAAAACGACGCCATTAGCTGATCTGTTCTATCATCGATGCTTCTGGGTGTCGCCGGACTAAAGTGTCGCCGATGCTTCTGGGTTGGGATCAAACCCTTCGTCCCTCATTATCCCAAACAATTCCACCGCCTCCACTGCAAAGGCCATCTTCGAGTACCCTGATATCATCGAATTCCACGACACTATATCTGTCTCCCTAATTTCATCAAACACTTTCCGGGCATAACCCAATTCACCGCATCTTGAATACATCGTGATCAATGAATGAGCCACATAACCATCGACACTCAACCCATTCTTGAAAACTATTGAATGGGCCAGACTCCTGTTCCATACTATTGAGAGAGAAGAGACTTTTGTTTTATTTATTTATTTATTTATTTTTATGCATAAATTGTTGATGAGGGTAGATTGGTCAAATTTATATATTAAATTGTAAAGTTAAAAAAGTCTCCTAAACGGTCAAAGGATAATTTGGTCAATTATTCATATAAAGAAATGTCTTTGTCTATTTTTAAAAATTCAAGGGGTAACTTTATCCAAAAAAATAGATAAGTTTCTTATGGGTGTCTTTTTGTCAAACCTTAGGAGTGTGACTGTACTTTACCCTATATTCTAACTAAATACAAGTAAAATTTGTAATTATAAATTTATTTAAGAATTGATATATAATTTATTTTCTTATATATTCTTTTAAGTTTTAGTTACTTAATAATATTTCATTATGAGTTTAAATAATAATTATTTTAATATTTAAATTCAATTAAAAAAACTCTTTGGTAGGATACACTTAATACAAAAAAATTAATTATTTTATTAAATATCAATAAAATGTAATTTTTTTTTTATTCAAATTTTATGTCTAATTTTGTAAGGGCATATATAAAAATTTGAATCTAAATTTTATATATGATTTAGGAAAAGTATATCTAATTTAGTAAGGGTATAAATGGAAGATTTAGTGATTTATAAGTTAAATGGAAAAAAAAAATCTCAAAAGTAAGACTTGTTAGTCTTAAAAGAAGTTTTTAGGACTTATTTGTCTTTCAATAAAAAAAATTAGAACTTGGTGATAATTTTTCCTAGTTTATAACAAACTTTCTTAAAAATTAGAGCTCTAAACAAATTCTAATTAAAATTTGAGACAGTATCCAACAGACATATATATCTTTCATTAATCCTTGTGGAATAACCAAAAAGCTGTTGTCTATAATTGATTTGCCACACTCTATCCGAGGTCAATGAACTGATTTTAAATGAAATTGAAGAAGTTGATATCAATTATTTATTTATTTAGGGATTATTACATATAAATGGGGTTAGGGCACCATATTTACTTAGAAGCTGAGTCAAAGTCCCATAATTTTCCTAAAATGAGTTTGACCCAAAAGCTGAGGTGGCACATGGATTTTTACTGTTTAAAATTTGTGGTACTTAAAATGCCCTTCCCCTTTTTTCTGTGTTGCCTAAAATGCCCTTTCTCCATATTTTAATATATTGACCTAATTGCAGCCCTAGCATTCGTTCAGTGCAGCCCTCTCTCTCTCTCCGCCTCTGTAAAATCTAAAAGAGAAGAAAGCTTCTCAAAAACCCTAGTTGCTTCTTTACTATTGGTGATTCCACCCATCCCCTAACTAGGAACTGTAACAGCAGAACAACAAAGACTGCCATATCCTTGGCTGTAGTCGAATCGAGAGGGGGTACAAGTACGCCGGTGCTTTTCTTTGGTTATCCCAGCTATTGAGCTGGACTGATTGACACTGCTTTACTCCCCGGTCTTTCTTTCTCTCCGAAGGCTTCAACGAGAAAAGAGGGGTTAAACTTGGCCCGGAGAAAGTCAGGCTAGCAACTCCCAAATAAGATGCCCTCTCTCTCCCCGTCTCTGTAACCCAGCCGTAGCGGTATCCCCACTTCTCAAGTTTAGATTTCTACTATTCTTCTAACTCTCAACTTATTTCCTTCATAGCCTCCCTTCAGGTTCGTCTTTCTCTCTCTCTCTCTCACACACACACACAAACATATTGTTCTTAATCTCACTGCATAACTAGCTCTTACGATTTTAATTTTTTGTTTAATTTAAAGTAACTGTTATGCTTTTATTATTACAATAAGCTTATGTACACTCATTTTGCTGTTGATGGTACTATTCATGCATCATTAAGAATTTATTGGCAAAAGAAGGACAATTGAGAATCAATTTAGTGCTATCTAAAACGTAATGGAATTATTTGTTCCCATGGAATCCAAATGTCCCCATTCCTTTCCATGATTATATAGTATTGTCATTCTCATCATTTTATCAGTTAAGATAAAATTCCCATATTGGGAAACAAGAATAAAAGATGCATATTGCATCATTAATAAAGCATGCATAGACTTGAAACTTGAATGGCAACCAGTTTAGATGGAGGCCAAACACAAGTTCATGGTGATATATATATGTGTGTGTGCGCATATATGAAATTTCAATGTCAATTTATAATTCCCTTGACAAAACCCCACATTTAATAGTACATGACCTGTAATATGTGAACACAGAAGTGTTGCCTTCTGACAAGAACAGAAGGTGCTAAACACACATCACCATACACATAAAAGGTGAATCTTGTTATATTTGAATATTTGAATATCCTATCCTTGTTGTAGAGACTTAAGTAGCGAAGAAAGTATAAAATAATAATAATAAAAAAGTGTCACTCACTTCTTATTTTGCATTATATAGTATGGGTGAAATCCAGTATAGAGTCAACAAGTGTTTGACACAGTAATACCAAGCTTGAGATCCAGGTTAGTAAGGGATGGTTTTAGTATTGTACTTGTAGTCTGAACTTTCAATTAATATTAAATAATGGTGCTTTTAATGGTTTGAAAGAGTATTAAAATGTTAAGCTTATAATTTGGTAAATACAGATCAAATTGGACAAAGAAAAGAAAATTATTAGGCTGGCCGTGATAAAGGGATAGGTACGATGAAAGAGGATTTGATTAAGAACTTGGGAACCATAGCCAAATCTGGAACATCAGGTATCTTTATTTGTTTATTTATTTTTGATAAATTTAGGTATCTTTATTTTGTAAAGGATGAATGTATTCCAATTACAACATTGACTTTTCTTCTTTCCTTTGTGGGATTGAGGAATGATGGGCATTGATTAAATTTACTTTTCTATACAGCTTTTGTGGAGAAAATGCAAACAAGTGGAGACCTTAATCTCATTGGTCAGTTTGATGTTGGGTTCTACTCAGTATATCTTATTGCTGACTATGTTGAAGTTGTTAACAAACATAATGATGAAAAACAGTATGTCCCTTTGGGTCATTTCATTTTCAAGCAATTGTTATTATCTTATGGTAGAAATATGATGTTTATTTAATTATTTCCTCAGGTATGTATGGGAATCAAAGGCTGATGGAGCATTTGCTATTTCTGAGGATGTTTGGAATAAGCCACTTGGTTGTGGAACTGAAATCCGATTGCATCTTAGAGAAGAAGCCGGGGAGTACTTGGAGGAGATCAAATTAAAGGTGTGTAAACTAGAAATGTATGATGGATGATAATTTTCAGTTGGTTTTTAGATTAGTACCTTTGTTTTTAGATTATAATGATTTAAATGAATAAATGATGTTATAATAAATCAAGTAGTAATTTATCAAAAAGATAATTCAATTAGCCCCAATTGGATTGATGAAGAATTAAGTGGATGTTATTAAGCATGGAAAAGTCAAATGTTGTGAAATACGAAAAATGAGGATAGTCTGAAGAATAATGTTCTAGCAAACCTCACGAAGCCATTATTCCATCTTCCAGCAATCCTCACTCTGCTAAATCCTCTTCCACTGGTTTTGTTTCCAATTCAAAATCTTTCATCCCAGTCAAATCCATAGCTACCAAGGTCATCTCCGAACCCATTCTCTCTAAATCAACCATTATCTCTACCAAACAAATTCTTAGCACCAAAACATATCTTTCTTATTTCACTAATGAGATCTAATAATAAAAATGGTTATGGAAGAGTCAAGTCATTAGAGAAACTTATTTGCTTTTGTTAAAATAATTGTTAGCACCATAATTGAGAAGATCTATTACCAATCAATAGAAACTGTCCATGATACTGGAACAATCATAGCTCTGTCCTCCAGTGTCTTTTTTATCGCTATGTCCATGATACTGGAACAATCATACCCAATCCATTTTTTTTTTCTACTCTCTCTCCCAGATGTTTCGGGCATAATTTTATTTGAGAGGAAGACTTGAACACACAAACACACCTAATCGAGGAAACTTAAATCCTAAATATAGCAGTCTAGATCAAGGATCGAGTATCACATAATATCAAGAGAGGGATTCAACCTTACTTATCAAAAAAACAAAAGAAAAGAAAAAAAAAAGAAAAGAGAGGGATTCAAAACAAGTGTTTTTATTTATTTATTTATTGAGGTACAAGATATTCAAAACATAATTTCAATACAGCATCATTTTCCTTATCCTACCTAATAAAGGTAGCAAGCAAGGGAAGGTAAAATTGCATCTTGACGACATTAATATTATGTGTGTATATTATTGAAATATATATGTAGTATAAAATAACTTCTATATAGAAATTTATATATTTTATCGCTATGTCCTCCGGTGTATTAATTTTTTGTTTTTGTTTTGTGTCTATGTGTGTGTTCGTGTCCGTGTCCGTGTCCTGTGTCAATATCCATGCATTTTAGCAAACCAATCTTGAGAAGCTCCTTTTACTTATAGGGGTAGCTAGTTTATTCCAACCTGAAACCCGTCTTCTAGATGTACAAATTGAAGCTTTTGCCTGATAACAAAGCCCCCAAAAGACTCCCAATCTCATCATCCATGGCCAAAATTGAAAAGCCTTCCTACAGTGAAGAAAATAGAAAAGCTGATAAGGATAGTGAAGAATAAGAGAGGAAGCCTTTGGTCTGAAAATAAGAAACGCTTTAGTTGAATCTTCTCATTTCTTCATTCAAAATAAGAGAGGAAGCCTTGAGTGGAGCATTTGTGTGAAAATGGTATTACAAAATTCCCTAAGAAGTACATATTGCCCATTTCAGACCGACCCTAAGAAGGAAAACTATACCAGTCTCAGCTTAATCTCAAGTTTCCCATCATTGATTTTGCTAAATTACAAGGTCCAAACCGGTCCCAAGTCCTCAAGTCCCTCGCCCATGCTTGTGAACAATATGGATTCCAAATAACAAAAAACTAAAAAAGCCATAATATGTAATTAGAATGGTGGAAAAAATTTGGGGTTCGAGTTGAGTCCAGCCCAACTCGAATATGTTTGGATTTTGACAAAATCTAACCCGAACATAAACCTGATTTGTGAATCTAAAGCCTCAATTTTAAAATTTCTAAGTTGGGCTTAGGTTGGGCTGGGTTAGCTAGCCCAAGTTATAGCCCTAGGTATAAGGGTTATAATTACTTATAGCGCATAATACGTTTTGATATGTCGTCTCTTCTATTATTGTGCAAGCATTTGAGCCTAGTCTCGTTTCATCTAGTGCATTGCTATTGATTGATGTGATCAATTGTGAGTAGCTATCAATTATAAATGTCTAGACACCATCTCATTACTAGGTGGTTGGAATAGGAGGATGAGTCACGCTTATGGTGGGGTTAGTGTTTTCCTAAAACCAGTTGTGGAATGGACAATTGATAGGAATCACTTGATTTCATAGCTTATTATAAGAAGTTGACCTATTTTGTAGTGAGAAACTAGATATTCTCTTCCTAGAATTGTTTCATTCATCAAAGACAGTAGACAAGCTAGAACTTCATAATTATGTGACCTTAATTAATGAAAGAGGATTTTGTTTTGGACCACAAAAAAATGTCGGTTCGTCATTTTAAATTTAATTTAATTTGACAACTGTATTAGAAAATTAAAAGAAACCAAAAACTATCTTGGTATGGATGATGGCTTTAGGATACTGTTGAAGAAAATACTAAAAAAAAAAAACTGTGTTGGTGTAGGAGTGATCCCGAAGTAGGGTTATGAAAGAAATTAAAGGCTCAAAAGGTGATGTTTAACTTGTTAATCTTGAAATATAGTTGCAGGTTCTTTGTCCAATTCTTTTATGATCCTGTTTTCTTACCCTTTGCTGAAAATATCCTATATTGGATCTTGGTTCCCTTTACTATTTAGTTTATTACTGCTTACATATCTTGTTCACTGATAATCAAGTTAAATTATACCTGTAGTTGAGAATCCAATATAATTAATTAGTCTCTCTAGGTGTATACCAAAATTTACATGAAAATACAAAACGGGTCACGGGGATTTAGACCTCCATTACCCAATTTAGGGTTTGATTATTAATTGTATGGGAAAGCAGTATTGTTTATCAGGAGTAGGTGGAATTAAGTTGCCAAATGCCCAAATTAATTGGTCTCTCTTGTCTTGATTTTGTTTATTTATGTATGTTATTTTGTTCGTACTTTTTGGTAGTAGTTTCTTCGCTACATTTTGTTTGTCAATGATGATGATATCTATTTGATTCATAAATGACAATCTTGTTCTTTCCCTTTTGTGATTAGCATACTGAATTTGAGACTTGTGTGATGCAGTTACTTGCTAAGATTTTGTACCATGGACAATGAGGTGGTTTTTTGACAAGTGCAGACTGAAACTCAAGTGCTAGAAGGTTTATAAATTTGCTAAATAGAAGTGCTAGGAAATTGATGATATTCTTGACAAATGGATTTAGTTCCTGTTTTGGAACATTGATGAATGGTGAATTGTTTTGGAACATTAGTAAATGATGAATTTTTTAATTGTAGAATGAATTTTTTTTTTGTAGTGATAGGTAGACACCATTCATGCACAACTTGAAAAAATGATGGATGAAATAATTTAAAGATTATCCAAATGATATAAATAATTTATAGAAGGAAAGCTATTTAAAAAAGAAATTAACATTACAATAGTTTTATTAAAATAAAAACATTAGATGAGTAAATTGCACTTACAAATAGGGATGCCAATACTCTGCCTCATAACATCAAACACTAAGGCTTTTTCTTGATGATGTGACCATACCTCTTTATCTGCCATGGTCTAAGGTTGTTTTACATTATTTGGCTTTTTGTTCAATCACATGGCTAGTCACAGAATAGGACTCTTACTGAAAAAATCAGCTCTTGTAGATACACAAAACCAACCCACTTTCTCATCTTATCATCACATGGCTAAAGTTAAAAATAGTGGTGCTAAGTGTATAAACACGTGAACTATTATGCAAGACACCCCTATAATGCCAAAGAGAGAGAGAGGTGTAAGTCCCTTTTGTCAAATTATCACATGGGTAAAATTCATTCACATGTCTATGAATTGGGCTTTGTAAGTAGACATATGGCATATGCACAAAACCATAACATTAGCACTAGTAAATCTCAAGTACTGAGTTTTTTTTAGCAATAACGGGGAAGTGGAATTCATAAAAATACTGCATAAAATTAGTAAATATTCATACATTTCATATAAATACTGCATAAAATTAAACTCAACTACTAAGTTTTTTTTAAGTTTTTTTGAGCAATAACGGGGAGGTGGAATCACAAAGTCATCATCCCCTAGATCTGAATAATCTAATGACTCTGAATCAACTAATAAGTCTGGATTATTAGTGATGGCTTGAATAACTTCAGTTGGATCCTTATGCATTTTCTTTGCAATGGAAATGCTCTCATTCCTGCAACATCTAACATATAGATTTTTTAATAGCTTTGATTAAATATGAGAAAAAATAAAGATGCTACATAATCAAAGTGCACTTAGAAATCTATTTAAAAAAGAAATTAACATTATAATAGTTTTGTTAAAATAAAAACATTAGATGAGTAAATTGCACTTACAAATAGGGATGCCAATACTCTGCCTCATGACAACAATGCCACTATTTATAACTTTTTCAAACACTAAGGATTTTTCTTGATGATGTGACCATACCTCTTTATCTGCTATGGTCTAAAGCTGTTTTACAATATTTGGCTTTTTGTTCAATCACATGGCTAGTCACAAAATAGGATTCTCACTGAAAAAATCAGCTCTTGTAGATACACAAAACCAACCCACTTTCTCATCTTATCATCACATGGCTAAAGTTAAAAATAGTGGTGCTAGGTGTATAAACACGAGAACTATTATGAAGACACCCCTATCATGCCAAAGAGAGAGATGTGTAAGTTCCTTTTGTTAAATCATGATATGGGTAAAATTCATTCACATGTCTATGAATTGGGCTTTGTAAGTAGACATATGGCATATGCACAAAACCATAACATTAGCACTAATAAATCTCAGTTGTTGATGTATGGACCGAAAGTATATAGAGCGAAAGTACTCGTTAAGAGATGCGTGGATTGAAAGTAGTTGTTTTACATTCTCAATCGTTCTCAAAACTATTCCATTTTTAACTCCTCATATCGATGGTTCATTTTTTTATGTAACACTAACCTGGCATATAATCGTTATCCCCTCCATCGAGATTTGGTGTGTATTTATTTTTCAATGTGTTCAAGTGTGTATTTATTTTTCCTTCAATAAATGTTTTGATTATGTTTCTACAAATGTACCCTGTATTTATTTTGCTATTATTTGGCTTCTATTCATTATAGCATTATAAGCTATTCCATTTTTAACTCCTCATATTTGAAACTATTCCATTTTTAACTCCTCACGACTTCGTGAGGCCATGAGACCCCTCCAACGTATAGGAATTTGCTGCTTGCCATTGTCTTCAACCAGCAAATGTTCTTCCTTCATATATAATAAAATACTATGAAATCTCCTCACTATATATAATAAGATACTAGGAAATTTTTGAACTCTCGTGAATTGTCTTCCATAAATTCATGCCAACCCTTGTAAAAATATTTTGTGTTGTTAACCTCTCTCACTTCAACCCGCCACAATTTGCTTGCATAACTCCTAATTATAGACTTGGAAGGTAAAACTCTATCAAATTGCTTAAGGAATGCTGGTGGAAGTTGCAGTCGTTGAGAGCTCCATTCCGGGAGAAAAACTTTAAAGAACTAAGGACACTAATCAGGTAAGGAGAACTTTTTGCAAAGTACTATTCCATAATGGAACTGGCTTAAAAGCAGCTTTTTTACCTATCAGGTAGAGAATAATTGTTTTTAAGATATCTTGTAGAATAAAAATAAATAAATAAATAAATAAAATAAAATAAATTAGCAAAGAAACAATGTTTCAAGTGATGTTGGAGTATATTTTGTACTATTCATTCCCTCAAGTTAGCTAAATTGGAATAAAGTTTGTACTCTTTATGGCACTAATGGATTTATTTATGGATGTAATGTGCAACTTAATTAGCGGTGTGGGGTGTAATACCATTTTCAATTGCAAAAATAAGTCCATTTTGTGAAGGTACCATTTTTTTTTTCCAAAGGTAACACGTTTTGGAACTAAAGGTCTCACTTTTTGGCGTCCAGGTACCATGTTTTCTAAATACTCGCGTAACTAGCATGGAGAATATTTTGTATTATTTATGGCCCTAATGGAGCTATTTATGGATGTCATGTGCAACTTAATTATAGGTGTGGTGTATAATTTTTTTTTTCAATTGCAAAAATAAGTCCCTTTTTTGGAGTCTAGGCATTGCGGGATTTTCTAAACACTCGCTTAGCTAAGTTGAAAAATATTTTGTGTTATTTATGGTGCTAATGGAGCTGTTTATGGATGTAATGTACAACTTAATTAGCGGTGTGGGGTGTAATACCATTTTCAATTACAAAAATAAGTCCCTTTTGCAAAGGTACCACTTTTTTTCCCAAAGGTACCACGTTTTTGAACTGAAGGTACTACTTTTTGGTGTCAAGGTACCACGTTTTCTCTAAACACTTATTCATGGCGCTAATGGAGCTATTTATTGATGTAATGTGCAACTTAATTAGCGATGTGGGGTGTAATACCATTTTTAATTGCAAAAATAAGTCTCTTTTGCAAAAGTACCACTTTTTTCCCAAAGTTATCACGTTTTTGAACTGAAGGTACCACTTTTTGGCGTCAAGGTACCACGTTTTCTCTAAACACTTATTTATGGCGCTAATGGAGCTATTTATGGATGTAATGTGCAACTTAATTAGCGGTGTGGGGTGTAATACTATTTTCAATTGCAAAAATAAGTCCCTTTTGCAAAGTTACCACTTTTATCCCAAAGGTACCATGTTTTTGAACTGAATGTACCACTTTTTGGCGTCAAGGTACCACGTTTTCTCTAAACACTTATTCATGGTGCTAATGGAGCTATTTATGGATGTAATGTGCAACTTAATTAGCGGTGTGGGGTGTAATACCATTTTCAATTGCAAAAGTAAGTCCCTTTCGCAAAGATACCACTTTTTTCCCAAAGGTACCACGTTTTTGAACTGAAGGTACCACTTTTTGGCGTCAAGGTACCACGTTTTCTCTAAACACTTATTCATGGTGCTAATGAAGTTGTTTATGGATGTAATGTGCAACTTAATTAGCGGTGTGGGGTGTAATACCATTTTCAATTGCAAAAATAAGTCCCTTTTGCAAAGGTATCACTTTTTTCCCAAACGTACCACGTTTTTGAACTGAAGGTACCACTTTTTAGCGTCAAGGAACCACGTTTTCTCTAAACACTTATTCATGGCGCTAATGGAGCTGTTTATGGATGTAATGCACAATTTAATTAGCGTTGTGGGGTGTAATACCATTTTCAATTGCAAAAATAAGTCCCTTTTGCGAAGGTACCACTTTTTTCCCAAAGGTACCACGTTTTTGAACTGAAGGTACCACTTTTTGGCGTCAAGGTACCACGTTTTCTCTAAACACTTATTTATGGTGCTAATTGAGCTGTTTATGGATTTAATGTGCAACTTAATTGGTGGTGTGGGGTGTAATACCATTTTCAATTGCAAAAATAAGTCTTTTTTGCGAATATACCACTTTTTTCCCAAAGGTACCATGTTTTCGAACTGAAGGTACCACTTTTTAGAGTCAAGGTACCACGTTTTCTCTAAACACTTATTCATGGTGCTAATGGAGCTGTTTATGGATGTAATGTGCAACTTAATTAGTGGTGTGGGGTGTAATACCATTTTCAATTACAAAAATAAGTCCTTTTTGCGAAGGTACCACTTTTTTTCCAAAGGTACCACGTTTTTGAACTGAATGTACCAATTTTTGGTGTCAAGGTACCACGTTTTCTAAACACTTATTCATGGGGCTAATGCAGTTGTTTATGGATATAATGTGCAACTTAATTATCGGTGTGGCGTGTAATACTATTTCAATTGCAAAAATAAGTCCCTTTTGCGAAGGTACTACTTTTTTCCCAAAGGTACCACGTTTTTGAACTGAATATACCACTTTTTGGCATCAAGGTACCACGTTTTCTTTAAACACTTATTCATGGTGCTAATGCAGCTGTTTATGGATGTAATGTGCAATTTAATTAGCGGTGTGGGGTGTAATGCTATTTTCAATTGCAAAAATAAGTCCCTTTTGCGAAGGTACCACTTTTTTCCCAAAGGTACCACGTTTTTGAACTGAAGGTACCACTTTTTGGCATCAAGGTACCACGTTTTCTCTAAACACTTATTCATGGTGCTAATGCAGCTGTTTATGGATGTAATGTGCAATTTAATTAGCGGTGTGGGGTGTAATACCATTCTCAATTGCAAAAATAAGTTCTTAGCGTCAAGGTACCATTTTTATCCCAAAGGTACCACGTTTTTGAACTAAAGGTACTACTGTTTGGCGTCAAGGTACCACGTTTTCTAAACACTCGCTTAACTAGCTTGGAGAATATTTTGTGTTATTCATGGTGCTAATGGAGCTGTTTATGGATGTAATATGCAACTTAATCACATTACACATATATGTTTATTGAGATAGTGTGTTATTTCTTTGACAACTATTGAGATTAAATTATCCATTTATCGACAACATGGAACCAAGGAAACAACAGGCCAATTTTTCATTCATTAAACTTCTTCAATTTTAAACTCGATCAAATTTGAAATTAGTACATTAATATAATAGTGAAAGAAAATTCAGTGAGACCCTAATATAATAAACCATACAATACTAATTCATAAAAACCCAAAAGAATAACTTCATTTGATTCTATCTAAGGTAGATACCAGTATAATAAGCCATACAATAGTTGCAAAAACATACCAACCTAATCCACAATCAAAAGTTGCAAAGCTACTCTTCTTTAACACTTAAAAAATAGCTAACACCAACAGATTGCAAAATATATGCAAAAAAATTGACACTATTTAACATTACAAATGTCCCATATCCCACATCATTTCAAGTACTTTTTAGAAAATTCAACGATCCTCCTATCCCACTTCCTCTAGCTTTCAATTGGGCAAATATAGGTATGTATTTCCTTGTTCTGTGGTAAACCAATTTGTTGCCCTTATCCTTTGTGTGGTCCTAGTGAGAGTCCTTTTGTTTGTGTATTTAATGGACATGCATTCTTTTTGTCTTTGTGTAGTTGGAACAAATAACCATTTTATCTCTGTGACTGTCACATGCAATAAAAATTAAAGTATTAAGGCATTGTATAATAATAATAAGAAACAAAAGCAATATAAAAACAGACAATTTGAAACTTTGAATAATAATAATAATTTTAAAAAGAATCATCAAAATTAAAAAAGAATTTATAATTTGCCCAACACCTTGCAATTAACCTCATTATCCAACTTAGCAGTACTGCTTTTAAAACATGTTTGAACAATTACATAATAATTTTGAGTTTACTTAAGAGGTTGAATATTTCCATTGGAGCTCTTGACAAATATATCACATGAAAAAATGCAACTGAACATTGAGCTATAGTACTAACAACTTAGTTATACTAAGAAATTGTTGTACAGCAAAAAATTATATTAGAAGTCGAGGAAATTACATCTTATACGCCTTGATGGATTAAGATGGAGATAGTGAGGTTCCTTGAGGTAAATGGTACCGTGTTGGCTGATGGAGGTAATGTTAGAGTCATCAAAATAAAAATAAATAAATAAATAAATTACTAACCACAAGTAAACTGATGGAAGCTTACTTGAAATCAACGTGCTTAACCACATGTATAAAGTGCTTCATTCTTTACAAAATTTTTCATTTTGTTATTGTCATCTAAAAGCAAATTTGAAGCAATAATAGCATGTAACTTGTCAACGTCCACCTGTACATTAAACCAGGTAATTTCTTTTCATGAGTATAGGATATGGAAACAGACTTCATGCGTGAATACATATAAGTGTAAATAAATAGGAATCTAGTGTTGCAGAAACTATATATTTACTCACCTTCTTGAGAAGACTTTGGATTTCACTGACAGAAAGGCTGACATCAGCAAAAACAATGGTCCCCAATTTCCTCTTCTCAGCACTTGTCACTAAATAACCACCCTTTGCAATAGTTCTTAGTTGTTCCAACACTTGTTTAACAACAAACTCAAACAGAACCTGGAAAGATAAATATTGTGCAGAAGCTATGTTGATCACCACAAGCCAGTTACAAGAACTCCAATTACCAAAAAGACATTTCCTCCATTTCTCGCTTTGGCAGAAAGGAGGCAAGGAACTGAAGTACTTAAATAATAGTTTGTAGGTGTGTAAATATGTTACACTATGTTAAATGGACCTAGAAACCTGTGTTGGGTATATATATGTATCCACGCATTAGACGTGTCAAATATCCAAATAGTGGACACAACTAAATATTCATATTGTATACTATTTTTTTTTTTTAAAGATGTTTTCATGCAACATTGTGTCCATTCACTCATTTTAAAGGTAATAATATAATAAAATTGAATTAGTAGATATGCTTTTCAAGTGCATGTCCAACAAAAAGTGTCGGACACATATCCCATACCCATGTCCGAGTATCGTGTGTCCGACATGGGTGCTTCACTAGTTTTGAAGAGTCCATTTAACATAGGTGTTAGAAGCGCCACATAAAAATGATATTAACTTAAGTGGATTTTGACGATGGTCAGGTGAGTGCACATAAAATCAAACTACTGATCTAATACGGAAGGTAAATTGAAGGCGATATGGAGCTATTAAACACAAACGTTATATATTTACCTGTATAGAATTAAGATATTAAGCATTGCCAAATAGAACCTCTCGTAATTGATTCTCCCATTTAGCCCAGTCCTTGATATATGATCCTTTGGTGGAATCCAACCTAGGTTCAGAATTGGAAGGAGAATAGTAAGAACTTCTCACCACTAATAATTGGAAAAGTAAAATTGATGACCATAAAAGTAATCCTAAGACAAAAGGTTAGAGGCTATAAATAACCACTATCAAACATAATCACAGCACCAAGTCACTATTTCAATTCCGCTACAATCTTGGATGCTAACCATTAGAACATCAATCAACTAAAGATGGAAACATCCTTCCACAAGAAATGAAGAACAAAAAAAGTAGCACCAATTGTAACATCATTATAAATATGTTTGTGTTTGTAATATTATTTTAGGTAAGTAGTATGCAGAGCTGATTTACTTGTTTCTTACATTGCTATAGACAATCTATAAGATACATCAACTAATTAAATTTTCCAAAATATTATTACAGAAAAAAATCCAAAGTTCCAAAAACACAGCATTTGAGAACAGGTTGTACATTTTTTTTTTCCCACAACAAATACATAAAGTTTAGGTGTGACCCATAATCCTATCACTAAAGATCATGTATCCAATTTTGAAAGAGTAACCAGTTTTTATAATACGAAAAGGTGAGAGGTAGAGGCAGAACTCCTTTAACAACAATGAGGAGAAGCCCAAGTCTCAAGCATAATGCCAATCATGAATTTTTCAGTTCATATAAGCATGATAGCAAAAAATAAGGGGAGAATGCAAATATATGAGAAGAAGTATCCAACAATTTGCTTCAACATTCGAGAAACAATCTTAGTTTTGCAATATTGGGAAAATTTAGAGACTACTAGACCATAAAACCACAAAGGAAACCCCGACTCCAGCTATTAATCAAAGATTGGGTTGCATTTATGAGTAGCCCTAGTCTTATCCATAGCAGCTTCCACAATATTGGGCTTATAAACCCAATGGGCAGGATATTGGTTTGATTGTTAGACATATTGAACACCAAATCAATCAACATTGACATATAAATCATGTTTTGGAAGCCAAACATCTTGTAAGAGCGAAAAGACTATTGACTCAAAGGTTTACTTATCTCTAGATAATTGCTTAAACTATCTGTCTTATTTGACAGTCGCTGCATTATAGATAATTGCTAAAACTATCTGTCTTTTTTGACAGTCGCTGCATTGTTAGAAAGTTTCTGATTTCACACACACACACACACACATGCACGCACGTATACACACACCCACCCACACGCACGCGCGCGCGCACATTATTTTTTCATTAGTGGACAAATTAAAGTTTTTGATCCACACATACACACACACACATAGTATTTTTCCATTAGTGGACAAATTAAAGTTTTTGATCTTTATGTTGTCTTTGAAGTTTTTGGCATCCTTTTTTTTGTCCACTTCTTGTTGACACCACACACACACACACTATTTTTCCATTAGTGGACAAATTAAAGTTTTTAATCTTTATGTTGTCTTTGAAGTTTTTGGCATCCTTTTTTTTGTCCACCTCTTGTTGTCTTTGAAGTTGTAAGTTATGTGGTTGGAACATAATCTTCTTGTTGAGTTTGCTGAAATCCATGTGCCACCTCAGCTTTTGGCTCAAAATCATTTTAGGCAAACTATGGGACTTTGACTCAGCCTCTTAGTAAATATGGTGCCCTAACCCCATTTATATGTAATAATCCTTATCATATTTAACTTTAGAGATTCCAAAGATTTTTGTTTTCCCTTCCTGAAAAGCCTGTCAATTCAGTTTTCGAAACATATGTTTTTTTTTTAGTTTAGGATTTTGATTGTTTTTGATGAATTTGCATCAAGTATTCATGTACTTGATCTTTCCCTTTTTATCTTTTTTGGTACATCAGGAAATGGATATATTGTGTCTTATTTCTGTTTGTTGTTTGTATAATGGAAATTTACTCTTTTGGTTTGGATCTTAAGAGACGTTTGGACTCGTAAACAAAAAAATTCTGCTAAAGTGTATTTGGTCTTAAACTAAGGAGATGACATTTGTGTAAATGACTTGAGTAGTTATATGGAACTCACTTTTCCAGTTGGTAAAATTGACAAGAATATTATTCAGAATTATAAAAATAAATTTCCTATACTTTTTTGACATCCATAGCAAAGAATATCTCTTGGTTGATTTATTTAAGTGTTTATTAGGATTTATTTTTTACAATTGAAGTAGTATATCATACGTGTACTGCTCATAGATGTTCATTGGGGATGGAGCAAAACTTGTTCGTGATGCTTTTCAGCTTACGAAGGAGAAATCTCCTTGCATTATTTTTATAGATGAAATTGATGCTATAGGCACAAAGCGGTTTGACAGGTATGCCATATCTCTATTTTATGTGTAATTTTCTAATCTGCCTTGGCAATTTTCTGAATCTTGGTGTAGTGGATTTTGGATTGAATACTTAAGAAGTTCCGTCATAATGTGACTAATTGATTGTAAATTGTTTCTTTCAATGCAGTGAAGTCAGTAGGAATAGGGAAGTCCAACGGACAATGTTAGAGTTACTCAATCAGCTTGATGGATTTAATAGTGATGAACGGATAAAGGTCTTTATATTTGCCTTTAATTAAACACACTTTTAGTTTTCTGGTCACACGTTCAGGCAATTGTGAGCATTTAGAAGGTTTTGAATTCAATAATTAGCAGAGTTTTATTTGGTCCCCACATTTTTGGCATGGAGATTGTATCTTCAGAACTTCTTACTTTGTTGAAGGGTCAGATATAATTTTGGGCTATGGTTTCTACATTTTGAGTGTCTTCAGATTATAGTTTTCCTCACCGGCTGAGTCATAGCAGACTCATCTGTGCCCGTGTCTATGAACCATGCTTCAGATGCCACCAACAAATAGCTACTTCACTAATAAAATTTCAGTTAACTTAAATTATTATCTGAGTTAGTAATTCAGTATTTCATAATCTCATGAATTGCAGGTAACAAATACAGCTGATATTTTGGATCCTGTACTCATGCGTTCTGGTCGATTGATAAACTTATTATTAGGCAAGGTAGGTTAGGTGACATGACTAGGACATTGGGGACCGACAGTAACACTGCTTGAGTGAGGCAATGTGTATATTTTGGTCATTTATATTTATTTATGTACGTAATTTGGACATTTTCGTTAGACTTTTTCTCAAATATCACCAATTCCATTATAATCTAAAAATATTTGTGTAGTTCAGAATGAACTACAGATGACCTAGGCGAATATTCTGGAATTGTAGTAGCTTTAGTCAATGTAGGAGGTGTGGAGGTTTGGATTGGTGAGACATGATATTTAATGTGGTAGAAGAACCGTGTTTTGAGGCATAAATGAATTAATCATTTGTTGGCTCTCTATGTTTTTTAACATTCCTTCTATAAGAATTTATTACTCTTCTGTTATGCTACTTGGTATCCATATGTGTTATAATTTGCAACCACAAAAACTGAAATCTAATTCTTTTCATCATTGTTCATATTTCATCTCCCTTTTCCAATAAAAATTATTTCTAATGAAATGAATTTATTCTTTGTTTTTTGTATCTCAGAAGAAGAGGTCCTTTCAGCTCCTCTAAAATTGGTGTACAGCAAACTAATCTTGCAATTAGCCCATTGATTATTTAAGTTAAATAATCTTAATTTAATTCTATTATTGTTGCCTAAGCAAGTCATAGCTAACTGTGTTTCTGTTCTTTATTGCAGATTCACAAGGAAACTTTTGGTTACAGTCGTAGAGGAGTGGGACAATCATGTGCTTGTCATTGACAAAGTTTGCCCCCCTAATTGGAAGGTTTGATGTTCAACTTAACTATATAAAATTCCCAGTTTCCTTACTGTACTCTCTTTATTTTAGACTATAGACTCCGTTTCTCTTAAGTGAATGACTTAAGTATAATTCTTTATAACCTGAGCTACATTCTGCATTGATTCATAATTTTTTCCTCCTAGACCTTTTATATCTTTCTTGGAGAATTTCCATAGTGGATATGGTAATACTATTATTTGTAGAAGTAGGCTACTTCTTCCAACTGAGAATTACTATGTCAAACACTTATTGACTCTATACTGGATTTCACCCATACTATATAATGCAAAATAAGAAGTGAGTGACACTTTTTTTATTATTATTATTTTATACTTTCTTACTACTTAAGTCTCTACAACAAGGATAGGATATTCAAATATAACAAGATTCACCTTTTATGTGTATGGTGATGTGTGTTTAGCACCTTCTGTTCATGTCAGAAGGCAACACTTCTGTGTTCACATATTACAGGTCATGCACTATTAAAGGTGGGGTTTTGTCAAGGGAATTATAAATTGACATTGAAATTTCATATATGCACACACACACATATATATCACCATGAACTTGTGTTTGGCCTCCATCTAAACTGGTTGCCATTCAAGTTTCAAGTCTATACATGCTTTATTAATGATGAAATATGCATCTTTTATTCTTGTTTCCTAATATGGGAATTTTATTTTAACTGATAAAATGATGAGAATGACAATACTATATAATCATGGAAAGGAATGGGGACATTTGGACTCCATGGGAACAAATAATTCCATTACGTTTTAGATAGCACTAAATTGATTCTCAATTGTCCTTCTTTTGCCAATAAATTCTTAATGATGCATGAATAGTACCATCAACAACAAAATGAGTTTACATAAGCTTATTGTAATAATAAAAGCATAACAGTTACTTTAAATTAAACAAAAAATTAAAATCGTAAGAGCTAGTTATGCAGTGAGATTGAGAACAATATGTTTGTGTGTGTGTGTGGGAGAGAGAGAGAGACGAACCTGAAGGGAGGCCATGAAGGAAATAAGTTAAGAGTTAGAAGAATAGTAGAAATCTGAACTTGAGAAGTGGGGATGCCGCTACGGCTGGGTTACAGAGACGGGGAAAGAGATGGCATCTTATTTGGGCGTTGCTAGCCTGACTTTCTCTGGGCCAAGATTAACCCCTCTTTTCTCGTTGAAGCCTTCAGAGAGAAAGAAAGACCAGGGAGTGAAGCAGTGTCAATTAGTCTAGCTCGATAGCTGGGATAGCCAAAGAAAAGCACTGGCGTACCTGTACCCACTCTCGATTCGACTGATGCGGCCAAGGATCGGGCAGTCTTGGTTGTTCCGCTGTTACAGTTCCTAGCTAGGGGATGGGTGGAATCACCAATAGTAAAGAAGCAACTAGGGTTTTTGAGAAGCTTTCTTCTCTTTTAGATTTTACAGAGGCGGAGAGAGAGAGAGGGCTGCATTGAACGAATGCTAGGGCTGCAATTAGGTTAATATATTAAAATATGGAGAAAGGGCATTTTAGCCAACATAGAAAAAAAGGGGAAGGGTATTTTAGGCACCACAAGTTCTAAACAGTAAAAATCCATGTGCCACCTCAGCTTTTGGGTCAAACTCATTTTAGGGAAACTATGGGACTTTGACTCAGCCTCTAAGTAAATATGGTGCCCTAACCCCATTTATATGTAATAATCCCATTTATTTATTTATATTTTTATTGTAATATTTGTAGGAATGGATTATGTAATATAGGACATTTCAAGCATTCTCCCACTAACAACAACCAATTCTCTAATGACATCAGCTGCATAAACACACACTCTACACACTGGCATTATGGAATTTAGTGCTTACGGTCATCTTTGAACCTAACCCCAAAAGTGGTCTAAACATGTCAACTTCAAAGCTTTTTGGTGTTCCCATTATTAACTTCATTGCCTCATCAAACATTTCCAACAATTGTAACAGAAAGTTCCAAACAAAAACAATAACTGTTGAATTTGAAGAATAGCTGACATGATATCTTAAATAATAGTGAAAAATGAAAGAACTAGACACTTAAGCGAATGAAAGGAAAATAAGCTTTTCCTCGTGTATTTGATTAGTATGAAATTTTCTCTTAAAAATTAAAAAAATTATCATTTATGAAAAAAATTATGAGAAAATTAGGTAGTTACAGTAATATTTTCTCAAAAATTTTCTTTTCTTAACTACCAAACAAACTTCTAAAGTATACACTTACACTTACCTTTACCTTTCAGAAAGAAAAAAACTTTTAAAGTATTGAAACAAAATTCATTTCCTTTCTTTTCTTATTATTTCTATCAAACCAAACAAAGCCTCAGTATGACTGTAAGCCAAATTGGGTAAAAAGATGAACAAAGCATTGATTTTGACTATTTTGGAAGTTCACAGGACGTGAAAGCAATTCCACTCGCCTCTATTGTCAATATAAACTTGTGAACAATTTCAAAAGCCCTTTAACTTTAATCATACGCATCACATAAAGAATGGCAGCGGTATCTTGTGACACTCCGAGGGAAGTGAATAGGTACATATATTTGCTTTTTATTTATTTATTTATTTATTATTATTATTATTGATTTTAAACTCTTGATTATTAACAAGTTGATAATTTAATCGGTTAATTAATTATAAGTGTGATTGAACCTTATAGAGTACATTCTTAAAATATTCCGATTATACTTTTCTTCTCCATACTTCAACCGGACATACTTGAAATTATTTGAGGCCTATAGCAAAATAGCTAAATTAGGCCTTCTCATATCTAATATATTTACTATTTAAGTCCTAAAGCAAAATCGCTACATCAGAGCTAACTTCGCTCCATTGCTCCGCTCGTGAATCGGTGTTCTAAGAGCGAATTCGTCAAAAATTCATGCTCTCATGTTTTTGAATTCGTCAATTTTTAATATTCAATTTGATGAATTGTGTAATAAAAAATTGCGTATTTTGTTCAAGAATTTGACGACTTTGGAAAATAAATTTACTGGATTTAATGTGAATCTTGAGAAATTTCAATTTTACCCCAACTTAAACCGACCAAATAAGGTTAATTATGTCAAAAAGTAACCAATTTAATTTAATTGTGTAAACTCTGTTCTTTATAGGTCAAATAATAAAATAATAGAGTTTAAATTTAATAATACTTACCTTCAATATTCATTAGTAAAAAAAAAAAAGAAGGAATAACTTTTCATATTCTAGGATGATTTTGCTTATGAAGATGATTTGGATAATGATTTAGAAAGTACCGAGAAAAGGAAGCAAGCTACACTCTATGCTGATGAGATTGCGGCTTCAAGTTCTTCTCTAGATAATGCAACATCTAGTACTTATTTTAACATGTCTCAAACAAGCCATGAAGAGGAAATTTCCCGAGGCAAGAGGCCACGAATCAACTAGATTGCAGAAAAATAGTCTCTAACATTTTGTTTTTGTAGTCTCATTTTGCTTTTGGGTTTGGAAGTTTGGAGACGTTTGGATATTTCATGTTTGTTTTAAAGTTTAGTAGTAGTATTTGTAAACTGAAGTATTGTTGTCTTTTCCTTTTGCTTTTGAACATTGCTATTTCAAAGATAATGATTGTCATCTTGAGAGCTTAAAGCAGGTTAAATGTATAAAAATGAATTAAATTCATTATTATTATTATTATTATTATTATTATTTTATTTGTTATTCCCTATTCACTGTTATGTTTACTTTTTATAAAACAAGTTATATTGATTGTAATGAACTTATATTTGATTCACTATTCTGTCTTTTTATTTGCATGAAATTTATTTAAAACAAATATTTACTATTATAAATGAATATTTTATAAGTTTATAACGCAGTGCTTTCATGGTGCTCCCGCTCTAAGATTTTTTGGAATATGCCGCTCTCGCCCTTTCGCTCCCGCTCTATATGACTTAGGGGTGAACTGCATTAAACCTTCCTTTTTTATCTGCATTTTGTACTAAAATTCATTTTTTATTTTTTTTGCCAAAAAAACTCCCCCTCAACTATTTGAGGGGGTGATTTAACTGACAGAATTTAGCTGAAAGGAAGCAGCTTAGACATTGAGTTTTCTCATATATTTTTTAGGCAAAAATACCCCTATACTTATTTTAATAACACCAACATATATATCTACTCCATTCTCATTCTTAGTCGCATATCCTCCACCATTGCATCAGCAGGTACTCTTCTTCTTGCTCAACTTCTTTTATTGACCCATCATATAAATATTTATTTATTATATATACTATTATAATATTATATATAATATGTACCATTAAATATTATTTATACTATATTTGCGTTTCCATCCAGCCTTCAAACCTATATAAATCTGGAATTTTCCTAGCTTGAAATTTATCTGCTATATATATATATATATTTTGAGAATTATTTTATGCATTCAATTCTCTCATTTTTATTGATATTCATTTTATACAGATTTTTTAAGGGGACACTATGAGAAATAATGCCTAAATTTTTTCCTTTATATATATATATATTATTTATGCGTTATCATTTTTCTTCTTCTTCTTCTTCTTTTTATATTTAAAAATAGATTTTTTTTTTTTTTTTTATAAAAATACTATTCCTTCCATGTGACTAATGTGAACTTGACAATCTAGTAAAATGTTAACATATTAAAAAAAACAAAAAACAAAAATAGAAGTGTTAATTTCTATGAATACTGTAGTTTAGGTTATTTATTTAAAAAAAAAACAAGATGCACCCACAAAATAGATTTTCAAATAGGCCTAATGGATATTTAAGTCAAGTTCTCTTTTAGCAAACATCTGTTTGTTAAGTCACCCCCCTTGGATAGTCAGGGGGGATTTTTTAGGGAAAAAAATTTGAAAAGGGGGTTTAATGCATATATAACCCAAATAAAAAAGGGGTTTAATATAGATCACCTTTAAATATATTAATATAATAATAATAAGGGCACTGTCATTCAAAGAATACAATTGCAGGCTGGGACTGACACAATTACATGGAAACATGGCAGGTTCTCTTTGAAAGCAGCTTGGAGTCTATGTAGATTAAAAAAATAGACAATTCAATGGAGTTCTCTTTGCTGCGGTCACTGCAGACCTAGAATAGCTGTGGGTGTCACAATTATACTGCATAATAAGAATCTCACCTATGTGAATCTGCAGAAACGTGGTCTGGTTATTGCTCCTGTCTGTCATATTTTGTAACTGTAACTATGCTGTTGCAATTTGACAAGAATTAGCTAGTATTTTTCAGATGGATTTGCCCAATTTCTTCTCCATTTCACAGATGACAGAGTGGTTTCTTCAGCATTCAGCTGTCAAATCTACAAAATCAACAGTGCTGTGTGCCTTGTTTGCTGTCACCATTTGGAAGATTTGATCCACTCGAAATTCAGTTCTCCATCATGGAATACAATACAGGATACTGCTACTTATGCTACTAGAGTTATAGTTTGGGATGTCATTACATATCTCAAACTTAGACTTGAGGATTTGTTAATCATTTTTAATTCTTGATGCTGTGGTTTTTATTTTTATTGTTGTTTAGCATTTATTGAAAATGAGCTTATTCTAGTCATGTGATGTAACAAGGGGAATGCCTCCTTAAGACTTTGTAATGTTCTTCTTTTTATTTTATAAATTATCCCATTCAGAAAAGAAAAAAAAAACAAAAAACAAAAAAATGGGGTAAAGTGTAAAAAATCCCCATGAACTATTACCCTTTTACAAATAACTCTCTCAACTAAAAACTATCTCCTAAACTATTGATTTGTTGCAATTAAGGATAAATCCATCACAAAATACTATTTTACCCTTACTCATTAAAATTTTCATTTTTTACCAAATTATTTTATTATCTTTTCTCTTATCTAAATATTAATTATAATATTTACCTTAATTTTATTATTAGTATCAATTTATCATAAAAAGGAAAAAAAAATTAAATTAAAAAACTACCTTTTTATGTAATATATTCATTAAAATTTTAAACAATAATAATATATATTTTTTAAAATTCTACTAAATTTTTTTATTTAAATATTAGTATGATTTTTTTTCATAATTTATTTAAATAATAAAAATAGATTAAATATAATTCAATAAGAACGGGCATTATGGTCATTTAATGAAATATAGTTTGGGTATTAAGATATTTTGCAATAAAATGTGATAGTTTAGGGGGGTATTATGCGTAAAATATAGTTCAGGGAAGTTATTTGCAAATTCAAACACCATTCAGGTATTTTTTTGCACTTTACCCTATACAATTTGTATTCAAGGAAATATAAAACATTATTTGTATTTTTAGCTAAAGAAAAGAAAATGAAGTATTGATGAAATAAACTTCCCAATTAAATAAATTTATGTTGACTAATATAATAACAATTGTATTTTTTAATGAAACTTCTTCTTTTATTAGAGGACTTAGGCAACCGT